ACCCTTTGAAGGTTTGTGTTCAAGGGAAAAGGTTAGATTAATTCTGCAACTAAGTGAAATACCTGGATTCAACAGAAAAGAGTCAGAAAATCTGGAACACCATCTACTCTGCATACCATACCTAGATGCTAATGTAATTTATACATAGAAACCTTGAGTTCTAGAGACAAATATCTGAATTTAAATACTAGCTTCACCTTTCCCCCCCTTAATCTCTCTGTTTCCTCCTTCATAAAATAGGGATAATAGCACTATTTACTTTATAGAATTAAAAATAAGGATTAAAAAAGATAATGTACATAAAGTGTTTAACACTGTATCTGGCGCATAAGATTTCAAAAAATGTTAGTTTTTGAAATTCACCAGTGCCAGTGAATCCAGTTTTATAGATTAAAAAGAGGAAGGAGGAGGTAAAGAGGGAGGAGGAGGGGGAAGAAGAGAAAAGGAGATAACCCATGTTTTTTGCCACTGATGAACAGATTCAAATTAGTGAATTTTCTTAGGTATCCATAGCCGACTCAGAAATAAAGGTATTCTTTCTGAAGTTGGTGTCTCTTTTGCTGCTGGAACCAAATTTACAGGTAAAATACAAGGTGTATCTGTTTTACACATGTGCATTCCACTTTGGCATCTCTGGGTTGCTGGCCTTTATAGATAACAGAATCTGAGTGCTGCATTCCTCAGGAAATATAGTCTGCAATTGCTTAAGCTATCCCCCTCCATACCCACATCTACTCTTGTTTGTCCTTATCTCAGGGACTGCAACTTACCTATCAATATTTAACAAAGGTCACCAACAACTGGAAGAAAGCCCCCAGCATAGAATACCCTTGTCATCCTAGAATTACAGAATATTAAACTTCAAAAGAAGCATGGAGATCACACAGCCTTACTCTTTAAAAAACAACAACACAACTCGAGGGAACTGAGGCGCAGAAAGGAGGAGCAATCAACCAAGGTGTCAGAGTTACTTGCAGAGCTGAGCCTGAGGGAAAAGGTTACTTGGAAAAGGCCTCTGTGCTGAGAGCACAGCCACACCTTGGAAGCTTCACATAGCTGACAGGGTAGCCAGGGACATTCTTTAGGTCTCTTATCTGATTACTGTATCTTAAACAGTGGGATTCTAATTCTTCATGTGCAACATACTTTAACCAAAAGAGATGAAAAAATCAAGGTATGGAGAGAGAAGGCTTCTGTGTCCATTACTAGAAAGCAGAAAGGCTCACACCCAGCCAAAACAGAATTAATCTATGTTTAAAAATGTATACATATTTTTATTGATTTACAGAAAGAAATGAAGAGAGAGGGAGAGAGAGAAACATCAATGTGAGGAGTGGAACATCATCAGCTGCCTCCTACGCACTCCTATAGGGGATTGAGCCCACAATGTGTGCATATGCCCTGACCCGAATAGATTTGGCAAACTTTGGGTGCATGGGACAATGCCCAATCATCTGAGCCACACTGGCCAGGGCAAATGAATCTATGTCTTAATTGATAAAAATCTCTATGATCTGCAATTATAAACAACTATATGACTAAACCTCATAATAATAAACAAAGGTTGAATGAGAGAAACCAGACAGAAAAGATATACTCTGTATGGATCTATTTATATAAAGTATGAAACCAATCAGAATAAATATCTGCTATTCAATGTTAAGACAATTTTTATCCTTGGGTTTGGGGACTTGTCTCCTCCGTAAAATTCCTTAATGACTGGAAGGATGCATGGGGGAGGGGTGCGGTGCTTCTAGCATACTGAAATATTCTGTTTCTTGATCTGGGAGTTAGTTACCAAATTTTTTGTTTATAAAAATGCATTTAGTTATAAGCCTAAATGTATAATTTTATTCAATGAAATGTAATTTATAGATAAAATGTGAGTAATTAGAAATTCTTTCTTATACCCCCAGCAGAGAATTGCCTGGCTTAAGATATATGAACTCAGAGACCATTGCCAGGAATATTATTCACGAATGAATTTTCCTACTAAAGGGCAAGTGTCCTGTATACATGCCATGCAGTTAGGACTTTAGTAAAATGTGAAGGGCACCTGAGGAACCAGGGACATTCATGGTTTTAGTAACTGGCTATCTTCAACATAAACATCTCTGAGATCGGTGGGGTGGGGGGTGGGGGGGGAGATGACACACATACACGGTACGGGACACGGGACTATAAGACTCTCAGCTTGGTTCTCCCCTAAACTTCTAAAGCTGGGAGAAAAGGGAGCTGAGAGATTAAGTGACATCTAAATAACTGACCATCTCTCAGATGAATACTGCAAACAGAGGAGAAAACTATCAGTCACTGCCTTTCCTCCTCAAGATAGCTTAAGTGGCTGTCCAGGGCTTAAGGAGGAGCTGAAGTAGTATCTGCTTACTATCAAGGTTCCACCTAAATAAGTTTTAAATGTTTATAATAAAAATTGTATCTATTAAAAGTGCATAACAATGATTTTATAAACATACTAGAGGCCCAGTGCACGGATTCGTACACACTGAAAGGAAATTAATTATAATAGAAGAAATATTTTAGAGGCCTGGGAGGGAGATTGGCTCCAGGGAGTGTCCGGCCTATCTTGCCTAGTCCTGATCAGCTGGACCCCAGCAGCAAGCTAACCTACCAGTCAGAGTGTCTACCCGATGGTCAGTCTACATCATAGCAACAGATCATTCTGCCACCATTTGCATATTAGGGTTTTATTATATAAAATAAAATCTATATTATAAAAGACTCGTGGCTATAACACCGTAACAAATGACCGATCACCAGGAAGTCCTTTGATGGGTCTTGTGGCACGGTGGGTCTAGGGTCCCACGACGGTGTGGCAGGTCTGAGCCTCACACTATTTCCTGCCCTGGGCTTCTAGTAATTTCTATAATCAGGCTAATTATCATATCTCCTCACATAGTTAAGTTACCTTTGTGTGTGTGAAAAGAGCACCTGAAATCTACTGTCTTAACTTATTTTCAGTATTAAATACAGTATTATCAACTACTAGAGGCCTGGTGCACAAAATTCGTGCATGGATGGAGAGGAGAAGGGTCTTCTCAGCCCAGTCTGCACCCTCTTGCAATCCGGGACCACTGGCTCCTAACTTCCCGCCTGCCTGCCTGCCTGCCTGCCTGCCTGCCTGAATGCCCATAACCCCTCTGCCTGCCTGCCTGATCACTCCTAACCATCACCTGCCTGCCTGATTGCCCCTAACCATTCTGCCTGCCTGCCTGATCACCCCTAATTGCCTCTGCCTTGGCCCCCTCAGCTGTGGCTTCAGGACAGAATGAATTCCAGAAGGTCGTTAGGCTATCTGGTCTAATTAGCATATTATGCTTTTATTATTGTAGTCAGTCATTTATTGTAGTCATACATACATCACCAATTTGTTGCAAAATAATTCAATAATGACAAGCAAGCTATGGAAATGCTAAAAGCTATGAGTAGATGGTTAAAAGTATCCTTGCCCCTAAATGAAGCATGACCCCCAACCACAGCACAGGCAGGCCATTAAATATAGCTAGTGAGATCTGAAGGAGGTTATCTTTCTTTCACCTCTTTTCACTGTCAAATGATTGTACCTTTAATATATTGTCTCTAAAACACAGGGAAAGCCCTTCACAGATGCAACTATATAGTTGGAAGATTCTAAATAATTTTTTTCATGCTGTTATAAACAGAAGAATTTAGGTTCTAATACCAGTCCTATTGAGATCTGGAAAACTTCCTAATGTTAAGGATTGGAAAACTGCCCTGGCCAGTGTTGCTCAGTGATCAGAGCTTTAGGCCATGTACTGAAGGGTCTCGGGTTCAATTCCTGGTCAAGGGCTCATACCTAGGTTGCAGGTTCAATCCCTGGTCCTGGTTGGAGTGTGTGTGGGAGGCAACCACTTGTTGTATCTCTCTCATGTTGATGTTTCTCTCTCTCTACCTCTCTCCCTCCTTCCTTCTCTTCCACTCTCTCTAAAAATCAATGGAAAAAATATATCCCTGGTGGAGGATTAACAACAACAAAAATTGGAAAACCAAGAGCTATAGCTGATCACAGTGCTGTTGACTGAAATCCTTTCTCTCCCAGCCTCAAATTTTAACACCAAATTTTGTCAACTGGAAACCAATGAATTTCATATACCTCCCCCCCCCCCCCAAAAAAAAATAATACAAAAGCCCTATATAAATTCTTTACACCTATAACTTGTGATAAGATTATTTGCTTTCTGAAATATCTTCTGTGGGTCTCAGACCTCAGTGTTAGGCATGGTATGTCATGTACTGATACAATGTTTGGGGCCTTTGCCACCATTTGTTACCAAAATTCATGAGTAAATAACTCCATTGAGAGTTAAGGTTGAGAGAGCTAAGAAAAAAAGTTTCTGGCTTTCCAAGAGGATAGTTCCACTACTGACAGGTGAGGTGAAGATGCCATAAATTTCTTAAGATTACCACAATTATTTTGGAGTCTTTCTTTGGTCAATTTTTTTTAACTTATTCCTAAGTTATTATGACAAACAAATGAGCTTCATAAAGCATTCAAAAATTAAAGAAAATATATATCATGATAAGAATAGCCAACTTCATAAGTTCTCCTTGGATAAGAACTTAGAAAGAGAAATAAACCAAAAATATAAATATATGAATTTGCTAAATGGACTAGAAGAAAAGAAAAAAAGCATGAAATGAAAACAAAAGGTTCCTGAATTTTAACAGCTTCACAAATCACATATGAAAATCGACTAACTATAATTAATACATCAGATTATGAATTATGCTCCCAATCCTGGGGTTATTCCTGGCACATGGTTACTTTCCTGGATCAACTATTAATTCAGCTCAGAAAGAAAGAAAAGAATGTCAATTTAATATTCTGCCTCTGTGAGTGTATGATATGAAATGACCAATTTCAAGTCTAATATGTGGGACAATAAGATATTCTTTCTCTTATTTACAAAACTGTGTCATTGCTCCACCCAAGTATCTTACGACTAGCAACAGCTACATACCTTTTTAAAGAGTCTTCCTGAGTCCTCGCTGACTTGAACAAATCGAGGAATGATGTTATTCAGGTAGATGTCACTCAGGGTAGTGTGGTCCCTGCTCTCCCGCTTCACCTGGTTTAAGAGGAGGTTCCAGCAGTTGACTGGAGAGAGAACATTCTGATCCTTCCTGCAGAGAAACAGCAAGGAAGAAAAAAAAAAAAATCACTGTTAGTAAGCAATCAGGACCAACATCTGTGACTACAGTCCACATCACAAAATCACAGTGATCAAAGCCAAGACAGAAATAACGTTATTTTTCCTGCACTCTGCACTTCTAGTGTTCTTTTTCTAACAACTCAATGGAGAAAGGGAGAAAATGAGGATAATGGTAAAGAGAGGGAAGGAAGAGGAAAAAAGAGAAGGAAGAGGAGAAGCAAGATTATCTGTTGAACACCTACTACGTTCTAGGAACTTGGGAGACTGTTTTATGTGCATTATTTCACCTAAGCTCCATCATTTCGTTGTAAAAAAACAAACAAACAAAAAAACAAACACTACCATTATTTCCATTTTACTGAGTAGAAAACTTATCCACAGCTAGGTAGTAAGAAGGAATCATGCAGCTAGTAAGATGAAGTCAGGAACTAGAACCACAATTCTGTGTAGTCTGACTAGAAAAAGCTCTAGGCTGTCTCCTTGGCCACTCAGTCATCTGGTATGCATCTAGGGTTAGAGACAAAAAGAGATTTTGTCTAGAGACAAAATAAACGCTCACACACTTACCTATTGCAGAATTCCATGAATACAACATTACAGGCAGCTGCCATGAAAAAGTCACTAAAAACTCTTCAGTTCCATCGAACACATCTAAGGATGCTTTGGTTTCACTGATTGAGCTATTATATCATGTCCCATACACCCTAGAGCACAATCATTCCCAGAACACTTGTATTCCTACAACTTTTTCAGCCTGAGTAGAACAGTATAGTGCCAAACCTAAATGCTCGTTTCTAATGAAAACATTGTGATCTAAAAGAATTATTTTCTACTCAGTTTACAGCAGTCATTTAAGCATCAAAAGTTCTGCATCTGCAAGTTAGATCTCTTTAAGGAGGAAAATAGAAAGTAGGGGTTGCTTGTGGTCCTATTTATCACAGGGTTATTATGTATTTAGCACATAGCTGGGCCCCATGGCTGATATAACTTTACCCCCACAACAATCTGATGAAATGGGTGTTATCAATTGCATTCAGCAGAAGAAGAAAGTTTAGATTAAGAAAGGTTAAATATGTTGGTCAAAGTTACATAGCTAAGAAGTGGCAATTATAAAATTAAAAACAAAGCCTTATAATTGCAAAGAGAATCTGCTTACCCATGACAAAGAATCATTTTTCTGTTTATTCCCCTTACCCCTCCCTCCAGTCAAACTCTCAGAGCAAAGAAAATGGCTTGAGTGTGGTTTGACTTAGTCAGCACTACCTCCATTCAAGGCTGGAGGGTGCCAGTCACCTATGATTTGTAGAGTATGGAATCCAACTTAGAAGGGCTTTCCCAACTCTGTTATGAGGTAATTATTGACAAATAACCATGCCAGTTTCCCTGCAGTAGGCATCATCACAGTGTCTCATGGGCTGCCAGGTGAACTTCATTCTATACAAACTTGGGAATAAATTATCAATGCATGTATCTAAACTTCTGAGAAATGAGTTATTGGTTAGAATGGATGTTGCTCTGAACTAATAGCTTTCAATTCCAGCCTGAGTGCCACCTTCAGTTAAATTGTTTGGGTGAGCATATGACTTTTATACATAGTGGTCAAGTTTAACTACCATACATGCCATAGAAGGCTCAGGAGCCCATGCTATAGACCGTGGTTGGGTAGTGAGAATAGTCATGCTCATTATCATCCTATCTCATTATCAATTGCAATGTTTCTTATACATTTTTTTGGATTATTCAGTTAATATTTATGAAGGTGAGTGAGAATAGCTAATAGATAATGTTAATTAAAACGAAAATATCATTTTCAAGCATCTAAATCAATTTTAAACTATTTCAAACAACTCAATTGTGTTAATCAGTAGTTTCTTGATACTGGCAATCCAAATCAGAACCAGAAATAACTTAGATGTTGAAATTGACATAAAACTACAACTCTGATTCATATTCCCAATGTCAATCAATATTTTGGGTTCATAAACACAGTCTGATGTGCTCACTGACTAACTCTATAATAAGTGCTTTAGATTTAAAAGATTTACACTAGTAAATCGGTTGCATATATGGCGGCTTATGCAAGATTTTTATTTTTAAAAAGGAACCCGTGGCTTTAAAACACAGTATTAGACACTGTTTTCTTTTAGGGGTTCCCATCTCTTTTACTCATACTGCAGTTTCTCATATAATGTATTTGGTTCTTTTGAGTTTGTATGGTTTTTCAGCTAGATTCCTCTTCAACTGAGGTGTTTTAATTAATTCATTTATTTATTTTGGGAAGGTGGTGGGGCAGGAGAGGGGAAAGGCTCACTGTAGAAGAAACACAAACACCCTGTAGAGACAATTTTCCCAGCCAACACGAACAAAGATGAAACACACTTCAGGCTGGAAAGTAAGCGAGGCCCCGAGACGTGATTTCATGGGGAGCCTATTAAGGTTCTGCTACAGTGGTTTCCTGCTTTCACAGCTTTGCAGCCTTCTTTTATTTGGGGCTGCTGGAGCCAGGGGAACTTGGTTTGGTTAGGAGATTGAAATTTGCCTTTATATCTTTTCCATCTATCATTTGTTTGTACAGTGTCTTTACTTTCCCCGCCCCCAGAGTCTTAGGCTGTGTAATACTTGGGCATTTAAAGGAAAAGGTCTACATCCCTTAGGAATGTGCTGAACAGCTGCAAACCTCCTCAAACACTAATCCCTAAAAAGCAGACAAAATATCCAGAAGTGTTTTTCTTACTTAAAAAAAATTTCTTTTAGGAGGAAGATCAAAAAAGCATCAAACTGTACTTGTGAGGAGATGACTCTGGAGTCCAAACAAAGGAGGCCAGAAAGTCACAAGCCGACTATGCATGCGCTGGAAGGAATAAACCTGCACAGCTCACTCATTAGCTTCAAATACATTAACCCAGTTTTCCTCTTCGACTTAGATTATTTATGGATGTTCAACACACTTGGCAACAAATGCTCAAAGGGATTTCTCTCAAATATCTAAGGGGAAGATCTCCATAAACGTCCAAGTTGGCTTGTATTACACTTGCTTTTTTTTGCGCTTCCCTCTGTTCGGTCTCATCTATAAAATGGACACATCCCTATCTGCGTACATCTAGCTCCCTGAAGATCTTCAAAGCAGGATATAAAACCCTGGAAGCTCTGCTGGCCTAAGGTGCCATTTAATTAATAAACGCTATGTTGATAGCTCTGCACATGGGCTGTGTGACACAAGCTTGGCATCACGAAGTGGCTTGAGCTTCTGTATTGCTCTAGTGAAGAATATTTCCTTTCAGGCCAACAGTGTCTGCCTGACTTGCCCACCTCACAGGTCTGTTGAGTGGCTCCAATGAGATGGTGGGTGCAAAAGAATGACATCAACAGTAAAACACTATACAAATGTGAAAAAAAATATTATTACTTTTATTTCCAAACAAACGAGGACTCAGCTTTCATCATCTTCCAAAAGGCTCCTCACCCGGCCCTGGGCCAAGGCCAAGAGTGCTGCTGAAAACGAACAGCCCTCGGCAAATAACGTTCGGGAGAAGACAGCAGCAACAGGCAATTAACCAGGCAGCTGTGGTCTCCGGGAAGACGTGAGGGAGATACGAAAGGGAGAGCAGAATCTAATCTTCCACTGTCCTTCCCCTGAGGTGGGACTGCTCAGCCCTGCATTCCGCACAGGGACTGAGCAAAGGGCCAGAGGAAGGATCCAGAGGGAGTCCAGGGAGCCAGTACCCCATGCTTCAGCAACTTCTGCTGAGCCCCGTTTCTCAGAATTCCTTTTAAAACTGCTGGTCTGCATAAAGAGATGCAAATATTAGTACTAATACATCTAAGAATATCGCTTCTCATTTAAAAAAAATAGACACATATATGTGATGATAGATAAAATAAAAGTGAGCAAAAGACACCATTCAGCATATTGAGCATCCAACCATAAGGAGGACAAGAAGAAGATACATACATGATAAAAGCGATCCGTTAGTGATGGTTGGACAGGGAACTAGTGACAAGGCCCAGGCTGGATTTGTAAACCTAAATTCCTTCCTGGCGCCTTGATTAAAATGAAGTGAAGGGACGCAGCCTAAGAGATTATTTTATTCAGATGAGTGTTATTAGCCTTTCTGGCTTATTTTCTCTATTATGCATTTTGCTGATGCTGACAGAAGCAGACGGGCTGGATAGAGAGGCAAAGCCGCAGCGGATTTACGGTTCGACAGTGCCATGCATAAAATCAGACCCGTGCTGACCCAGATAAGCCAGAGGATGGATTGGATTTGCTGGGGAAGGTGTTAAAAAAAAAGGGGGGGGGGGGAGGTGTCCCCAAGGTGGAAACTGACTTGAAAAAGATTCTTTCTGTAATGGTAGCGGCTTGGTGGTGCGACCCAGTAGTACATAAGCAGCCTAAAGGCATCTTTCAAAGACAGGCAGGCGGGCGGGCGGGCAGGGAGCAGGCAAGCATACGTCTCTGGGCTTATCACAGCCCAGGCTTCTGCTTTGCCAGCAATGAGATCAGAATTCTAAGACGGAACGATAAAAGGGCTAAAGGCAAAAATGTATATTCTAGGTATGGAGAAATGAGCTTTCAAGTGTTCGGGGACAAATGAATGCCACAAATTGTCTTCAGTAGCCTGGTCAGGTGATTAGAAAGGATTCAAGCGACAGTGTACCCACCTTACTCAAAATAGTCTTAAGTTGTCCCCTATAATCAGGTTTGGGGGGAGAGCTATATGGAAGTGGAATTCTTGTGGCTCTGAGTGAGTTCTGGGGAATCCAGACACACCCTTGGGATAATGGCGTGCCCAAGAGCTGGGAGCTTAGGAATCTGCTTTGAAGTTAATGTCAGCACTGTGTCTGACATTTCCTGAATGATGGCAGGACCAAGATTCCTCTGGGTTAGGTAGGGAATGGGAGTGATTCCCAAATCTGAACCACTGTACACTCTAACCAGAAATGCCTCCATCAATTTATGTCAGGTAAGAG